GGCTAATGAGACGCGACTTCCTGTCGCTGCCCGTCCAGGCGCTCAAAGTGGGCCTCTACGGCATTAAACCCATTTTGGGCGACAAGTGCTGGACGACCAGCGCCAGGGATAAGGTGTTGCGCTTCTCTAAGCCTAACTACGCGTTGGCCACCACTTTGATTGAGTATAAGAAAGGCATCCCACAGGTGGCCATGTGTGACACCAACACCATGTCTGACATATTCATCCACAGCGTGTTGATCAACGATAAGCACGCGCTCTCTGATGACACCGCTCTGGACGCCAATACTGTCGATGATTTGCTCAGTTAAAGGGCGCCTAATGTTTGGTTTAAAACATTTGTTTGCAATTGGTTTGGATGTTGTGATTATTGTGATGATTATTATCTCGATTTCAAACCTTTCTGTTAATTACTTAATTTTTTAGTTGCAATTTATGACTGATTTGTTTCCATATATAATCTCATAATTTCATTACTTTTGATATATTTTTCAATAACTATCCGTTCAGTCAATCTATAGACTGAATAAATGTGTTCAAAATACTTATAAATATAATTATAATCTTTTTCATTGAATAGTCATTTCATTTAAAAAACTTATGTTTGATTAAAACTTTAAAAATTGTTTATTATAATGCTTGATAACTGTAATACTATAAAATGTAAAAGTTAATCTGATTTTTGTAAATTAATTTGTGTTTAAAAAGACAATGTGATTGTTAACTCGGTTTTTGTTGTAAACATATCAGCCATGTGTAGTCAAATATTAACTAAAAATATGCCAAAAATGCTATTTTTCTATGATTATAGAACTTTAATTAATATTAATTACAAAATAAAACAATATTAAACAAATTAAAAGGCAATTAAATTTCACTTATTTGTCAAAACATTGTTCACTTTTCCTATGAATTGGCGTTTTATATGAATAGGAGATCGCAGTGAAAGTCCATATGATTTGCGTTGACTGGCAGTCACTGGCGTTCAATGTTATGATTGCATTGACTGTGAAAACTCATTGAAGTCTATTGTATTGAGTGATTAGCTGTGCATTGAATACGAGTCAATACACGTGGCGTTCAATCAATAATACATTTATTTGTTATTATTTGACACCAAATCGACAGCTAATTGATCCATCGGTTCACCCATCCATTGATGCGATTATCACCCGAAAGTCATGTCCAACAGACAGGAGTTGATATCAAAGGCTGAGGACGTGGCGGATGAGGTCAGTACTGAACGCACGACTATATCTGACATTTATCTCTTGTTTACGTACTCTTGAGATACCATCGAGTCTTGTGATTGATATCTGGATGACTAATGTGTGTGTTGTTTGTGACCATTGGATCAGGTGTTGCGTCGGTCGAAGACAATCCTACCAACGATAGCCCGCTTGTGTCTGGTGTCCACATTCATCGAGGATGGCATCCGCATGTGGTTCCAGTGGTCAGAGCAGAGGGATTACATGAACAGCCAATGGGGCTGTGGCTACATATTGGCCACACTTTTTGTCTTAATCAATATGTTGTCCCAATTGGCCGGTTCTGGGCTCGTGTTGACCCGCTTTCACGTGACCATCGCGTGCGGCGTACTCTTCGGCACTGTTGTGCTTCAGGTAACCACCGGACAGACAGTCCAGTGATATACGTGTGTAACCACCGGACAGACAGTCCAGTGATATACGTGTGTAACCACCGGACAGACAGTCCAGTGATATACGTGTGTAACCACCGGACAGACAGTCCAGTGATATATACGTGTGTTATGTGATGATGAGTACTAATGAATGGTGTGTTTGGTGGCAGACATTCGCGTATTCAATCCTCTGGGACCTGAACTTCTTGCTGAGGAATATGAGTCTATGCGGCGCTCTGTTGCTGCTGTTGGCCGAGTGTAAGGCGGAGGCGCGCTCTCTGTTCGCCGGTGTGCCCAGTCTTGGGGAGAACCGTCCGAAGACTTATATGCAGTTAACCGGAAGAATACTAACGGTTCTCATGTTCGCCACAATCCTTCACTTAGACGTCGATGTCTTTCAAATCATTCAAAACATTATAGCCATCGGACTCATGGCGGCCGTCACTATCGGCTATAAGACCAAACTGTCGGCCCTTTTGCTGGTCGTGTGGCTCACGGGTTAGTCATCCGAACCATTCATTGTAACCATTTGTGTGTTGACTAATGATTGTCTTTTCTGGACCTCCCTTTCCACCCAAATAGCACTCAATTTTTATTTCAACTGTTTTTGGACGATAGACTCACACAAACCAATGCATGATTTCCTGAAATACGACTTTTTCCAGACGCTCTCCGTCATCGGCGGCCTCTTAATGATCGTACTCTTAGGACCCGGAGGTCTGTCACTGGATAACCACAAGAAGAAGTGGTAGTCCCCCGAGAATCGCTGTTTTAGCTCTACTTTAAAGTTTCAATGAGTTTTAAAAGTGTATTTCAATGCCATTTAATCTGATTTTCAATATAATATTGTATTTAAATATATGTGAACTTCCAATGCTTTCCATTACTAAAGCTATATTTCCTCTTAAATATGAAAACATTTTACGAAATAATGTATTTTAATCTGTAATTACTGGTTATTATTAGATTATTGATCACATTATTTTAATACACGAGTACACTATAACTATGTTATTTAATATGCATTTTCGAGATTTTTAAATTATATTGTATATTGATTTTGGATTAATTGTCATTTGAATTGTTATTATATGTCTTGTTCTTAGAATCTAATGATTTTCCCATTTATTATGTTATTTGCCATCGAATTGAACGATAAAATACGAAAATAAAGCAAATATTGTTATGATTATAATATTTGAACAAATAAATTATTTTAATTAAGATTTTACTATTTATACAATTGTCATTTTTAATTATTAAACAAATTTGTTTTTAAAAATTATTTATTTTCACTTTATATGTATCCACACAAGTGTACTCAACATTTGACCCAAATTTTTGGGAGCGACAAAAGTTTTGAAAAGTTATTTTCAGTATCTATTTAGCGATGTGTTTGGAAATTAGGTTAAAATGTGTTGTATTTGTTATGATTAGAAAGTTTTTCAATTTTTATTTTTTTACTAATATGGCTTTTATTGCACTCAAAGCACTTGTTTTATGATTACATTCATGGCTTTGTTTCACAATATTTTACAAAAGTTTAGTACATTTTATCTAATATCTAATGTGATATAATTACGGTATGTTATGTATTTTCAATTATATTCATTTGATTTACAATAAATGTTATTATCGGTAGTTTTCTAATCACTAGTGTATTTCGTGTACATTTTGTCACAAACGTCTGATTTTTAGTTAAAATCATTTGCATTAATTATAAGATTTAGGTTTTGTTTGCATGAGATATAATTATAGTTATTTATCATACGACAGAATCTGTCGGACAGATAATGGCTATAAAATTATTGATTAATAATAATAACTTTAAAATCAATATTCTGTGTAATTTGAAATAATACTCATTACAAGAATTTCCTTTGAAATAGTTTCTGAAAATATATTCTTTAAAAATTAAACCCAATATTCTTTGCAATGATTGATATGTTTATACGGATTCTTAACCAGAATTCATTGCTTATATTTCTTGGTAATATGATTTGTATCACTACAATTAACTTTTAAAATTATTTATTTCCAGACAATAAAACATTTTCTAAATATAATAGACATTCAAAGGCAAATATAATATATAATTTATTAAATTTGCAAAAACTCTCAAATAAAAAGTTTTATAAACACTATTTTCTAAGAAATACTGGAAATTGTTTTCCGACAACATTTCTCATGAAAGGGATAAAATTGGGTCAAACATTAGGACCACAATTGTATTATTTATTGAAACGCATCAACCGTATGATGAGAGAGAGAGAGAGAGAGAGAGAGAGAGAGTGACACTGGGTTCGTGACTATCATATAATATTTGCGTTGAAATATTGCTATTATATGAGAAAAACAACAAAAACGCATAAAAATGTCTAATTATTTAAATAACGAGAGAGAGAGAGAGAGAGAGAGAGTTTATTTGGTTTTATTTGGTAATAATTTGTTGTTTTGTCATATATTTATAATATTTATAATATTATTAAATTTTATTTATGATTACATATCCAATGATTGCATTTATATTAATATTTATTCTCTTAATGTACTGTATGCGCAAATAGTTTAGTAAAAAGTGTCTTTAAGATAAAAACAAATCTAATTGTCTATTTGGACATCAAATTCTTGTGAATAACAAAAATTTAGAAATAAAAATATTTTCTTGGAGACCATTACACGATAAAATAAAATAAATTAATTTATCTTGTTTTCATAAATAAAGTATTAATGATTTAAAACTAATGTTGATAAATACAGTAGTAAATTACAATTTTAACTTAAAAATTTTAAATAAAACCACACAGAAATTATACTTTACATTAAACGATATTTATTCACACACAAATTCAGTTCACATATAATTCCCATGTATGTCATAAATATGGATATAACAGTAAATATTTGTTCATAACGTAAATGTCAACCAAACATTTGTGTGAATTAATTTCAATCTTCATATTTATCACTGAAATGATGTGTTCTGTCACTTCCAATAACTGTCTGTCCTATAAATTCAATATTTGTTCAATTTGACTGTACATCTGGACATTATTTCTATAGATTCTATACTGCCGTATAATCTGCCAAATCACAATAATGACTATATAATTAAATATAGCATATTATAACTCTATTATGTTGTGTACTAGAACTCCTAAAATAGTAAAACATGTACTAATGTACTTATAATATGTTTTTGTCAACTGATTTATTTGCTTATTTTATAGAAAAGTTACTAAACACTTTAATAAAAGTGAATATTAAAACTAGAAATGTGTAATATTATTACTGTACTACCGTATTTCAATTTATGTTATTAATTCTTACAAATACTTCAAAATATAATACTTACCGGTAATACTTGAAACGTTATTATAAAAGTTAACGAATGTAGTATTTTGGTAATTCATATGAAATTCTGACAATACTCTAATTTGAAATAAATGCATGTATTTTAATGATACCGTAATATTGGAAATACTTGTTTCAACAGAGTTATCACAGGTATGATTCTTGTAATGTAAACTTTATTTTATTTTTTAATATAATATTGTATAATGTAATTTCGAAATTTAATTCTATATAGTACTTAATTAAAAATTTCAGTTTTATAAGGGTACAAATAATATTATTAAAGATTACTTACAAAACCATTATGTATTGCTTTATTGATATAGTTATAATAATTTTAAAAATATAACTTGAACTTTTCGATAACTTTATCTAGTTTTTAAAAATAAAATTTAATTAATAGGATAGTAAGACAAGTCAGGGAAATATAATTTTAATTAATTAATTAATGTAAATGTCATTTTAAAAATTTATATAAGACTTTATGTTAAAGAGTTTGTTAATTAAATTAAATTCTCATTAATAGCCTTAAGTTAAGCAACAATGGAGTCATCAGAATCACAGTCTATTTAAAGTCAGTGTCCTTTTGTGATAAACCAGTGAAAGAGTAGACTCTCTCTCTCTCTCTCTCTCTCTCTCTCTCTCTCTCTCAGGATATGATGATCTCTAGTGTCATAGACTTTAGGATTGAAATTACAAACTCTGAGAGGAAAGAGTGAGCGGTTGTGGGAGAGAGACATGGATAGGGATGAGAGTACTGTCAGTGAAAAAACCTATTATTACCACCGAAATCAATGGTCTATAATATGACTACTAAGTTATTTCTGGACTATCTATCCGTTTGTGTGATCGCTTTCGTACACAAAACACAAATTGAATTTTAGGTATCTATAAGAGTGAAGCAAATTAGTGAACAGCAAATAAAAACAATACAAAACCTACACTAGACGTCAAGAGACGTGTAGTAAAAGCACATAAAACACAAATATCTAGAGAATAATGAGTGAAAATAGACAAATAAATGTGCTCATCATATCTGCCGTTATGTTTTGAGGCAAACAATTGATTGGTTTAATATTTTGCACATTATTTTTGATGCTATGTTTCATTTGTTTGATTCCTCAAAGCCGTAAACTCTTGTGTTTTCTTTTCACTGCAGAATATTCTCTACAATTCTGTTATGACTTTTCGTTTCAGATGTCATTAATTTCACTTAAAAGACATTGAACTAAATGTTAACAGAGATTTACACTATATTTAGTGTTTGTGTACTAAATATTGAGTTTCGGTTTGCTTTTCGGGTACCATTTATTTCTATTAATATATATACTTGTGTTTCATATGATATGCGAGTATTTTATAACTTAATTTTTGGTTATTTTTTAAAATGTAAATACAAATATTGTTTTATATCCTTTGCCAAGTATTATGTATTTTGATTAATATAGCAAATAATTAATTTAAATACAAATGCGATTAAATACATCATACTGTGCACAGTACATTCACACATTAATTACAGCAATATTTTTGCAATTTTTAATTTATGTCACATAATTAAGATATAAATCGTTAGCAAAGTTTGTAGCATTTTTATACCAAATTCTTATGTACAATATGTTAGTGTTGAAACCATGGCTTTAAATCAAATATTTTCATGTAATTAAAATTTGATAAAAAGTTTCGATAAAAACCAAACTTCACGATAGGATATGTATAAAGACCTTTAATTAAGAAATAGTTTTACCATTGAATAGTTGTCTACGAAAATAGACTAAGACTTTTTTTATATAAAATTACTGATAAATAGATTTAACTTTTTTCATAACAAAATCTTAATGATTACGTCCATTATACTGTATAATGTATAAGCCTTTTAATCAATTTATTCAGTGAATACTATGTATCATAAAAAATTTACAAATATTTAATGAAAGGGAATCACTTTATTATTCATTATTATATGTAATATATTTTTTGCTAAATCACATGAATTATATGGTCTAACAAAAAATAGCAGTAAAATTAATCTCAATATTGATTGAAAGTCTGGACGAAATCATTTTTGTTTTTTAGTCCAAAAATCAGACACAAGTTCTTTCAACTGATTTCTAGTGGAAAGCCTTATAATAGAGTATATGAATGGAGAGTATATTATTAGATCAATGATATTGCATACAAATCGCAATCATTGATTAGATTTATGCAATATTTACAAATAAGAAAAATAGCCAAACTGTAGACCGTATTTAAAGTTAATTTATAAATATAAATTTTGTTCAATACACAATATATACAGAATGTATTAAATCTTATTGAGATGTAGACTATATGCAACATAGATAATCATTAACTCTATTTTATAAATACTGTATATTTTGGATTTTGTTTTTAAACT